TGTTTATTTTATTCTTAGGTCTACTACATTACAATTTTTAAAAGAATATAAAGTTCAGTAATACTGGTAATATCAACTATTTTGCTACCTTAATAATTGTAGAAACTAAAGCTAAAATAGATAATGCTAAAAATAGATAATACTAAAAATTTTTCATATTTTATTATAAAATTATAAAATTTTTTTAGAAACTTTGTTGTGATCTTTTTTTCATAGTTAGGTTAGGGTTAGGGATTAGTATTTATTAATAACAAGTATATGTGAATTTTAGTAGGTTTTTATAGATTTAAAAGAGACCCCAATTTTTAGCATAATCCATTATTACACGACAGAGTGAAATTCGCTACGTAGATCACATGAGGGTGAAATTCGGTTTGCATAATAAAAAACGTAGCTTAATTTACAACGCGAGTTTCACCCAATCCAATTATAATTATTATTATTATGTAGACACTTTTTATTAAACACCTTTCTTTATAGAATTTAAAATGTTAAATATTATGAGAGGAATTAAAGACAAAGTACAATCAATCTTTTTATAATGATTTAATATAGAATACAAATTTAAAAAATTTCACTACAAAAAAATCTTTACGTCCGTTCAGAAAATTTCGAAGGGTAATTTTCATAGCATATTTACGAACGCAAAAAGTAAAATAAAAAATACGTTCAATATTACACAAAATAATACGACCTAACTTTTTTTTTTTGCTGCATTATTCATGATTTCCACTATAATACTATAAAAATTATTGTTATAAATGCGTTATTAAAATTCGCTTAAATAATTTATTTGTTATGAAGAAAATAAATATGTAACTAATCTATAAACATTGTAATATAATATCAATAATTAAATCGATATAAATATAGAAGACTAATACAAGCTAGCTCACAATTCATGTTAATCTATTTAGAATGGATTGTTTAAAGTATCCACCAAGGAACGCAATAAAAAAAAAAATAAAATAAAAATAAAACAAAAAAAAAAAAAGGAAATAAATTAACCATTGAATCAAATAATAAATTGATTGTCTTCAACAAAATTATTTTCCACAACCACTGTAGTATCTAGAGGATGTTCTGGTTCGTAAAGGCAATTGTACTCTGGTCTAAAAAGATTATCAGATTGCGGATAATAATTATAATTATAAGTTTGCTCGTGCAATCGCCATTTACCACGCCTACGATTAAAGTCTAGACTATATATTGAAGTTAAAGGTATCGTTGGATT